GTGACTTTCCAGATAAAATGTGGTCGGCGAGGTAAGCCAAAAGTGGTGCATGGCAACAGGCTTTGGCATTATCACGGTCCAGGACATTTCAGTTGGGATGAAGTGGACAACAGAACAAATGACGCTGCCGAAGACGTGCCACCTGAAGAAGCCACCATCGAAGAAGAAACTCTACTCAGTTTTGAGAAGGGAAACGATGAAGCTCTTGATGAAGTTAATACCACTGATGTGACTGTTACCGATGATAGGCCATTTACTGATGAAGCAGATGAACCCCACATGAAGCAGAAGCCAACGAGACGGAGACCAGTACGGAAGAAGATACGTCCCGTAAAATTAAGAGACTTTGTTGAATTGTAATTTTGTGTTTGTAACTCTGTACATTTAATCAAGTTATTGTTATTGGTTTATTGTGTGTGGTTATTGTTCGGGACGAACAATACTAAGGAGGGGGCAGTGTTGCGTCAGGGAGGTCACGTGACTATTGTCACGCCACCTATTTTCTAGAAGTATCTTGTTCCTTCGTGAATGCCCTAGCATTTACTAGATGTATGTTTTTCTGGTATATAAATAAGACGCTCACAACGTGACGGGACAATGTGTGTAGGTAGTGAGTAATTGATCTGCAGTGAGAAAGTATTGTTGAAGTTAACGTTCGTTATTACGTTTGTTTTAGCGCGAATGTTGAAATCAAGTGTATCGTGCAGTTATATTCAGAAAGAATAAACCAGTTTTATTAAGTAAGGACTTGTGTCACTAAAGTTTTGTCGGAACGAAGTTACGGAAAGTTAATTAACAAACGGAGACGTAACAATATATATATTACTGCTAGCTGTTTAGGAAGTTTCTTAAAAACATTTTTCGTCATCTAATTAGTACATTAATGTAAAAAATTAATATTGTTGTTGTAAATATATTTGATTAATTTCTGACTATTCTAATATTCTTTTCTATTTTCTTTTCCATCTCTACATTACTTCCATCTGTTTTTCCATCTTTAGTTGTTATATTTGGAGATCTTGAAGACTTTTGTTTTCTTAAACCTTGGACCTAGGCTCTGTTTTTATGTCTCATACAGACTTTTTTTTATTTTTATTGAACTTTTTTCTCTAAACTTAACCATATCTCTCACTATTAAATCTTTATGTGTATCCTAGGTTTTCATTTACCAAACTTACCATTAGCAATGTTATATGAGCATGCCAACAAGTTATAGTACAACATACTTATATTTCATACAAAGTATCTTTGCTTATGAAAAATGGATCATTGACTGACCATTTCTTGAGGTTATAAAAACTTGCATTAGTTTGAAGACCTGCTGACCTCAACCTACCACATTGTTTTGAGATGCTTTGTATTTTTATGTATCCCTTTGTCCTAATTTCTCACCCTGAATATTATAGCATTGCTAGCCTGCACATCTTCAAAATCTCTTTATCTTATGTATCCTGATGTTTACATCCCCAATCATAGTGCTGTTGTATACCTTTAAGCCTCTTTCTAGGTATCCCATTGTAGACTGTACTTCCTTCAGTTATCCTATTTACTTCTTGGCAACATGCCAATATTATCAAAAGGTATCAAAGGTTAATCATTGTCTGTAGAAACAAACACAAATTATTTCTCTTTAATATTTTCATATCTATACACAATAACATACTCTTACTATAGAAAACATATTACACATGCAAAAAAGTAAACATGTTATACAAAAGCTTTTAATAAAACTTAACACTCTTATTAATCCAGCATAAAGATAAGTTATTTTTGTTACTTTAATATACTTTCATTTTGGCTTCCTTTCTCTATCATAACCCAATAGAAGTAGCACAAAGTACAATGTTCCAGCACAAAGCCCTTATAAAAAAAAAAAAAAAGTGCTCAGGAAGGGTTCCTAAGAACAGAGCTTCAAAGGAATCAGCTCTAAACAGGGTCATTTTAACATTACATATATGGAGATATGTAACTGAAGACATTGTTTCTTACCTGTGTATGATGTCTAAGTGCTTTATTTAAGTACTAGTAAACATAGATTGTTACAGTACAGTATTATTTATTAAAGTAAATTATTACAAACAGTCTTAAAAACAAGAAACTGGCATTGATTCGTGAACTGGCACCAACCCTAGGGTGGAAGGCAGCAGGTACATGAGGTAGTGGTTAGTGACAAACAGTGGACATCATTGGGCTCTTTATAATGAAGAACATGAGTGCTGCAATATTTAAAAAAATCCTGAATTTACCCTGGTGTAAGAATTGTGACATTGTTTCTATAAATCTCCTTTTCTCTATTTTATTCATCATCCCTCCAATAAGTATGAAATTTTACTTAAATTACTAACTATAATATCATCATCGCTGGAAAAAAGCAAAATTTTTATTAGCCTTCAATCTTGTTTGGTTACAGAGCCGTCAAATAGAAAATCAGATCCCTCCTGCCACTCCTACCTGTCACATCCTCTCTTTCAGGATTTGTCAATACATTTAGTTCTCTCTCACGTTTATGACTATATTAGTTATAACCAATAGACAAGCAAGGTTTTTGTCTATCAAATGATGTATAATATTACATTGTTTTCTGTACAGGGATTTGTAGATTACTTCCTAAGAAATTTTTTGTTTCTCATGGGAATGATATTGTGTAGGTGAATGATGTTTTAATGGTTCATATTGTGTTGCTAGAAACACCAGAAAAATTGTGATAGTTATGGGACACTGTCTGCTTTTTTCATGGTATTATTTTATGTTCTTTGTTGCATTATTTTATTACATAAAAATTATTATCTCTCAAGAAGACAAGAGTTCTATAAGGAACCAGCTTTAAGCAGGTGGCGCTAAGCGGAGTCTTACTGTATATCTTTAAGCTCTTCAAGATTTTAGATATATGATATTTGAAAAGCTTGTAATTCAATGGTAAGTAATAAATCATTACATTTAAAACATATAATTATTAATCAGTGAAAGTAATGATAAACAAATCTACTGGTAAATGCTAGAAAAATCAGTATGTCAAATCATTTAAGTAATATGATGAATAAAAATCAACACATTAACAAAAACAAAAAACAGAGAGATTATCCTGAACTTAAATTCCTTTCTCATACAAAACCCAAGATCATTGAACTAAAAATTATGCTGCCTTCGGCAGCTGCGCTGTAAACTTAATCATATCAACCAGTAAATTAGCTGTTACATACCTACCTGTTGATTTCCTGTTATGTTCTAAACTTGATCAGATCTATAAGAAGATTAAGTTTTTTTCTCTAATCACCAAATATTAAATCATTTTACACTAAGCATGGCCATATCTACCAAAAATGTACTTATACTCTAAACATACTCCTACCCACCAAAATACTTATCATGCTCTAAACTTGGTTTTGTCAGAAAACTATTATTTGGAAGAAAAAAGGGAATACACACATGCCAGAAATTATGATCCTATAACTCTTAGTTAAAATAGTTAACACAAATCTACAAATAAAGAATTACAGTCCCTTTTTTTCTCTCATAGAAGGTATCAATTTAATACACAAAAACCTGATTAAATGTAGCACAATTAAATTTATTTTGCTGAAATTATTGCTAATCATGCAATTAATAAGAATTCAGTAATGTCACAGATTACTCTTCAGCAGCCCAAAGTATGAACAGTTTTAAGAGCAAGCCCTTTAAAGAGGTTACTGTTGTGACCTATTGAGTTTTGAGGTAGAAAAATGTATAGTATTTCCATCTCTAAATTGCTATGATAACTTTTGCTTGACAGATGGTTGGAAAGCAAACAGAAGCTCATGAAATGACAGCATATATATTTGCTATCATCAACAACTAAAACTGACAAGTTTAAGATCATTTCAGGTTGACATAAAAATTTAATTGAGATCATTCTGAAATTTAAGCAAGATTGTTACTTGTTTCTTAAAAATACATTATGACCTGTTTCTGTATACAAGTCCTCCTGAAAGAATATATGAAAACAAGTATAGCTTATTTCAAAATAAAAGTAATCTTTATTTCCATTTTAACAAAATTTAGCTATAAACTACAAACTATGCACTTACTTGAATACTGTTGGCCACCAGCGGTGATTGGAGGAGAAAGAAAATGAACAAGAAGAGAGAGACTACAGCAGGGGATGGAGGAGAAAGAAAATAAACAAGAAGAAAGTCTCCAACAATTGAGAGATAGCCAGAGTACACAAATGGAAAACATTTGTAAATTTCAAAGCGACTTAAATATATTAAGCAAGGACATATGAGGAGCCAGTGTAAGAAGAATATTACCAATAAGACAGCCTCGGGGGAAACCAGTAGTGGTTGGTGTAGAGGTATGCCCACCAAACCCCATCGTGAAAGTCCCAACAGCTAAATGTAAAATGGCAAGCACACCTAGTGTCTACGTGACAGGGAAGCTGGATGGCCAAAGATGCAACTTTCTCATAGATTCTGCATCTCAGCAAACTCTTGTGAGTACCAAGGTGCTGGATCACAAAGGAGTACCAGAAGCCATACAGAAGCTCTGTGGTGTGACAGGACATTATGCAAGATTGTGGTGACCAGTGTGGGTAACTATTGAGCCCATGGGCATGAAGAACAGACAGAAAGTATACTTGGCTGACATTAAAGACCAATGCATATTAGGATTGGACTATTTAATACAGAGGAAGTGTGTAATTAAGTTTGATAAAATGACGTTGGAAACAACAAAGGCCAAATTCCGGTAAGTGTTAAAAGAGAGGTTGAACTAACCAGGTGTCATCAAGCTGAAGTCAAAGTGACTGAATAAGTTGATGATGGTGAAGTGGAACCAGGTATAGATATTAAAGCAGAGCAGGAAAAAGATCAAGATTTGAAGCCAATAACTGATTTTCTAAAAGCAAGTGTTTTGCGCCCTGCTTGGGAGAAGGTGTCTAGCTTAAGCCCTGTGATAAAGAACTATTGGGCACAATGGGACCAGTTGAAGCTTGAAGATGGTATTCTTCTCCAGAGATGGGAAAATGATGACCTGGCAAACGGTTATACCGAGAAAGTTATGGGAAGTTGTGCTGCATCAATCCCATGATAGATTAACAGGAGGACATCTCGGAGTTAAGAAGACATTGAGTCACCTATGACAGAGATTTTACTGGATAGGTATGAGGCAAGATGTGGAAGAATGGTGCATGCCAACCGGCTTTGGCATTATCACGGTCCAGGACATTTCAGTTAGGACGAAGTGAACAACGGAACAAAAGATGCCTCTGAAGACGTGTCACCTGAAAAAGCCACTGTCGAAGAAGAAACTCTATTCGGTATTGAGAAGGGAAATAGTGAAGCCCTTCATGAAGTTACTACACTGATGTGACTATTACTGATAATAGGACATTTCCTGATGGAGCAGATGAACTTTACGTGAAGCAGAAGCCAATGAGATGGAGACCAGTATGGAAGAAGATACATCCCGTAAAATTAAGAGACTTTGTTGAATTTTAATTCTGTGTTTGTAAATTCTGTCCATTTAATTAAGTTATTATTAATTATATATTGGTTTAATGTAAGTAGCTATTGTTCGGGACGAACAATACTAAGGAAGGGGCAGTGTTACGACAGCGGAATTCACGTGATGCTGGTACCATGTAATGAGTATCTAGAACATTCGTGAAGGCTCGAGTGTTCTCCAGACACCCTCTATTTCGTATATATAAGACCAGCGAGAAGTGACAGCATAGATATAGATATAATTAAATAGCAGACAGGGAGATAGAGACAGATAATCGAGTCAAGCCGTAAGTAAAGTGTGTAAATCGTTGTGAATTATAGCGTGTGTTTAAGTTAAAGTGACTGTGGAAATTAAGTGTATTGTAAAGTTGTATTGAGGAAGAATAAACTAGTTTTATTTAAGAAAGGACTTGTATCACCGAAGTTCCTCGAGAAGAATTTTTAAGGGAAATTAACAAACGACCAGAGACGTAACAGATACAGTGTAATAAGTAAGACAATTTAATGCACAAGTCTGCAAATAAAGGATTATGGTTTCCTGTTTTATCTTACAAAAAGTAAAAAGTTACCATTAGCAAACATGGTTAAATGTAGCAGATCTCCAAGAAATGAAGTAGCATATTATTCCAAGTCATCAATACAAATAAAAAAAAATTTTGCAAAAATGTTTGAAGCTGTTTTCCCACATATTTCAAAAAAACTGTTTTTCCATGATTTACTTTTTTTTATTGCAAGTTGAAAAAGTTTAGATTTAGAATACTGAACTTTTTCAAAATACAAACAATCAACTAAGTCTCTTGAAATCACTACTTAAATATAAAATATCTATTTTACAATATCTTATAACTACTAAGTCATGGGGCAAAATTTGTAAAGTAGAACTAAAAATATTGATCATTTTATAAGAATTTCTTTACCGGATTCATGATATATACATAACAGTGGTACTTGGAATAATACTTTGTTTTAAACTTATTGCTAACCTTGTTATTAGCATTCTCTAACCTGTATTTTAATGTGTTTTAACCTTGCTGTTCCATCTTCCACAGAATACATCACTTATTATATACCATCATAAACATTTGCAATACAACACACAATAGGCATACAGTTGAGAGAGAGAGAATATGTTAGTAGAAGATTATCATTAAGCTTTACTATTATTATTATATTAGTTCTATTTTGTAGCACAAAATCCTGGAACTCACATTAAGCATGGAATTTCCAAGGGAGGCCGGCTGCAAAGCACAAGAGACAGTATTTAGTTGGGAGAACACAGATATTCATTATAAAAATAATCTAATCTCTCACTTATAAAATATGTTAAAGTTTCCTTAGGGGAATAAAAAAATAGCACAGTAAAATAATCCTCTCTCTCTAACAATGACATTTCTTACTTAAAATACATACTAAAATTTCTTGTTTGAGAGTTAAAATTTAATTAAATAGAACCATCAATATTTTAATATAGTTTATTTTCCATTTCAGAATTTATTTAAAATGCCCTAGAATTCAAAGCACCAAGAAAGCTAGGATTATAAACAACTTTTCTATAAAGTACAAATAAAAAAGTTAATTTTATTTCTAAATGAAATTTAGATAAATACTTATACTAAAATTTTTGAGATACTCCCTTAGCTAATTGCAAAATACAGATCTATTTGTTTTTGTCCATCTCTTTACTCCCCATCCCAATTAATGACCAATCTTGCATGATCTGTTCAATTTCTTTCATTAAACAAGCTCAACATGATTAGTCATGTGCCCTCTACTAGAATAGTCCTAGTTCAGTAAACTTCACCAACAGAAACTTTGCATGTCTGGGCTCATATCTCACCTAATTACATTTGTTATGAAAATTGTTTTTTGAAGAAATCTTTTAGTTATAAAAAGGAGACAGGAAATGGTATGGTAGAGGTAAATACCTATTTGAATTTTATTTTAAAAATAACAAAATGTCAGTTTCAAATAAAAAAGCTTAGCTCTAACCATAACCTTTTAGCTAGATACAAGAGGCAGAGAGGTGTCTGTCAATTATGAATCAATAAAAAATATTGACTTTTGTATAGCTATCAATTAAAAATCATGAAACAGATAAAGGACCTGAAAGAACAGAGTTAATTAGAATAAAGATTAAAAAAACATCAGAGCACAATGCTAAAGCAGAACATAAATTAACATTAATTGCCAAGACAAAAGTAGTCAAGCAGGATATCAATACAAAAAGTACATAAGGCTGAATCTTATTGGACTAGGATTATCACAATGAAGACACATGACTAATCACATCAAATTGTCACAAGGGAGATTTGACAAACTGTGAAATAGCAGCCATTAATAAGGGGTGGTGAGTAAAGAAATAGGCCTATACCATGGTGATTAGACAGAATAATAGTTAAAACATCATAATAAGGATAAGTAACTGCTTGAATAACATACTAAATACACTGTTTGCATGATATAAATGCATACAAATATTATGTTATAAAAACAGCCTAAACTGTCAGCTGATGGAACAGCAAGCAATAATACAGATTTGTAAAAGAAAAATATACATTTATAAAAATCATTTATAATAGCTTTTCAATTATTTTCAAGGTGTGATAATACAAATATCACTGTGTTTATTAAAGTATTTTATTCTAATTTTGAGTTTCATCAGTTATCTTTGTCTGAGAGGAAATTATTCTATACTTCTACAGATATCTTCATAATTTCTTAAGAACAAAGTTGACATTTGTGGAGTTACAATGATAGTATATTCAGACATGTTATTAACACTTCATCTTATAAGTACTGATGGAACTAAACATACAAGTAATACAAGTTTCTGTATGCCATAAGTTACTTGTAAATACTACATAAAAAAAGATAAACACCAAATTAGGTTTACAGATTGACCTCATCCTGTATAGGCTGTACACACTACTAGAAGTGTGTATGACACATCTACACAAATATTTTTTCAAATGAATATAGAAAGTATTCTTTAATTAGAGTTTTGATGGCTTTGAATTATCATTATTTTTTACTTGTTAAAGTAGTTGACCCTACCCAAAGTGTATAATGCCAAAGCAGAACAATCATTAAACATTCAAAGCTAAAAAAGGTGATTATCACACAAGGCTGTTACTATCTTTAACACTTCATCAGTGACATGTGACCATAAATGTTATTTAAATTTATAATATAAACTCCAGATATCATTACTGAAAAGTTATAAGTGAAATACTATTAATGCACTTTTACCATGGCACTATGATAAGCTTGTGTTACCAAGGGACTTGTTGGCAGAGGTTCAAATAAATTAAAAGTGAAGCTAAAATTCTATAACTGCACTTTTCCCATGGCACTATGATAAGCTTGTGTTACCAAGGGACTTGTTGGTAGAAGTTCAAACAAATTAAAAATGAAGATGAAATGCTATTGGAGCACTTTTCTCATGGCACTATGATAAGCTTGTGTCACCAAGGGACTTGTTGGCAGAAGTTCAAAACAAATTAAAAATGAAGCTGAAATGCTATTGGAGCACTTTTCTTACAGGTAACTCCCTCTAGTTTTTCTTAAGAATGAAGTTTTAAGTTATTCATAAGTCTTAGTATATTTCATCATATTTTTCATCAAAAATGCATTCAAGAATGCTAATGAAAAAGTATCAATTACCAAATAAGATCTAAAAGTCAAGTAAAATGAATTCTACACATCTTGGAATACATAGAAATATACAACTATTTACACATATATAGAACAAAACAGGTGTGCTTCACAATACCCCAAAATTCATTGATTGTACTTTATTGCTAAAGTTCACACAAACACTATACATAATTGTATTTATAAATACTGAAATTCAAAAGTTTTTCTTAGACAAATGACAGTAAATGGATATATTTTAACCATTCATTTGCAGCTTGTGTAAATCTGCCTACCACCCCATGTGCGAAGATTCGCAAATTTTTGTGGCAAGCCATTCAAAATGTTGCATGCAAAATGCTTGCATCATATGATGTCAACTGCAGTTGAAGGGTTAATAGCATATACTTTAAATCGAAGCTTGAAAAGTATTGAAAATGTACAATAATACAAAATCCATAAGAGCAACTGGACACCATAACAAAAAAATGCTAAAGACAGCTTTGTGAATGATAACATTTGTAACTATTTTCAAATCATCACACCTGTCTAAAACATATGTAATAGATGCTTGTCTACAACTGTCAAATTACAACCATTCTATCTTTTAAAAACAGTCCTGAGTAGCTAACCTTTATACCTGTTCTTTTTTATATACAAGCTTCAGATGTAATCATTAAGATGTGAGATGTCAAATAATAGCATCAACTTATAACTTTGTAGTCATTATGCCTTTTATTGTATCTTCTGGCTGCCACATCTCATTTCACATCATCCAGTAATTTTTCTCACTATTTTTTTCATTAAGTTAAACCAAATGAAAATAAAATAACTTTTTTCACAATCAATAAACTTAGACATTCTAATAATCTTAGAAAGAAAAGGTAAAAAGCATACGAGTATAAAAAAAACGAAGGGAGTAAAAAAAGAAACAAAATATTTGTGTGTATTATGTATCCTAATATAATTGATAAGAAATGAATGACCTTGTTCATACTGCTGATTACAAGTATTTGTTCAAACATTGAACTGTTCTCATCTACTGATGCACACATCTCTCACTTGATTTAGTTGACTCTTATCAATTCGGTAATAAATCAAAGCAATTACTCTTTGTCAATTTTTGTGCAAATGACATCTTTCAAGATAATGAAGATTATTATTCTAAAAGCAAATTTAGATTAATGATGTGTTACTTCAGGAGTATATTTTATGTTGAAAAATGAGTACATAAAACTAAAACAAACTTGCTTATACAATTTCAAATAATATCAATCAAGTGTTTGTGTATATGTGTGTGTGTGTGTGTATACACAGTACAAAATCTGCACCAAATTTTAATGTTGTATAAATCTCAATACAGTACAGCAACAAACAGTAATTCTCTATATCATTGTTTATCCTGCCAAATGTGAACTAATTTCACAATGGGCATAGACAGCACTACAGAGTTTGTGCTGTGAAAGGGTCTCTTTCCAAAATAACATGAAATTTTTCTTCTACACAAAAAAGTGATTTATGTGATTTACATGAAAGTGTTTATTTAAAAATAACAACAAAAGATAATGGACCTTTGACTTTTTTACAATATTGAGATGGATGTTTGACCCCAACCACCATCCCCCTGGCTACATCCCTGGAGTAAACTTGACTTAGATTTTTCATAAACACAGGTATAGAAAGTTTTTGTTCTTGCTTAGAATTCCAAAATGTACATAAAAAACTAGGAGGATATTTTGTTTATATGTACATTTTTGCAAGGAAATTGAATACTTTGAATTCAAAGGTTCAGTTTGTAAATGACAAAAAAAAAAGAAAAACTAAATAAGACTGCTCTTGCAAATAAAAAGTAATACGTGTCTACATTGTACTTTTTTGCCATACTTCAGTGTGGTAACTTATTAATAGTTTGTTACACATAGTGAAATATTATAACAATGGTTAATAGCACTTAGTACCACAGAATAGTAACATAAGATAGCACCACAGAAACAACAAATTACAACTTACTGGCATTTTGCAGTGAACTTTAATAATTTATCATTACTATTCTGTGCCTTTTTTTTACTCACTTAATATCAAAACATTAAATTTTCATAATTTATAAAGTCTACTAGGTGCAATAAAATCTAATTACAAACATTGTAATAAATAAGTCAGTTCACTTCTTTACACACTTTTCCTGAAAACAAGAGCCAACTGGACCATAAACTGAATACAAGTTTAAGGGTATTTTTCAGTGATAAACAGCCATTGAGTTACTTTTGATAATACTAAAAAAAATGTTTACCTGTCTAAGTATTTCTTGCTGCCTGAGCCGGAGACGTTCTCGCTCCAACTGGAGTCTGTGGAGTCTTTGTTTTTGCTGTTGCTGCTGCTGTTGTAGATTCAGCTGACTGTTCACCGATCCTGCCACAGTGGTCACTGCAGCTGATATTGAAGCAGATGCTGCATTGTTCTGAACACAAGACTGAGTTCCTGTTGAATTGGCCTGCACCTATTTCAAAAAGAAGTACACATACATTTATATAGTGATAAGTTCAACATGTGCCTAGACATACATGTGCATGACACCTGAGGAGAAATATATAAGAAACCTTCACATTATGTGAACTTTTGTTGCTCATGTGTATCAAGTACAAAACTATTAATTAATCTATTAAAAGATAGAAATTGCTTCTTTATCACCTACATTGAATATATATATATATATATATATAATAGAAGCTACAAATCAAAATGCATATCTCCTAATATAGTTCTTTGCTTACAAACATATTGATTCCTTCTCTATCTAACTTGTTAACCCATAGTGGAAGTAGCTCAGTTGGTCTGTAATCATTAATGCTACATGATATAAACATAACTAGTTTCTTGAAACTGTTTTCAATGAACATTTTTTGCACAAATGGTTATCTTACCTGTGGTTGCTGCTGGCCTAGCTGTTGTGAGGATGGCATGGTCGGTTGCTGAAGACCATGATGAGGACTCTGCATTAATGGTAATCTTCCCAGCTGTAGAGCTGATAAATAAACCAGAAACAGGTAAGAAAATAAATGTAATTATAAAATATTATAAAACATGTGATTAATTTAAATGACAGAAAGTTACAGAATTTAAGATTTTCTTCATTTTCGTGGGTAAAGTTGTCTAAGTTATAAACTTGATTGATGCTACTCATGGTACCATCAACCCGTTTTTTTTTTGTATCAGCTGGGGAAGCATGGTAAAAAAAAATCAAATTTAAGTCACTGTAGTGTATTTAAAAGAAAACGATTGGTATCATCCCAATACTATTTTATTTCTAACTCTTCTACTAAGTTGAGTTTGTAGAAGTTTCAATGGTTGTTGATATGGTAAACTACATCAAGCTGTTAACATATTAAAGTAAACTTTTACAAGGTTTGAACAAGTTGTTAACATGGTAACTTTCTTCAAAATTAAAAAAAAATTATAAGCATATTGAACTTTTAGACATTTTTAACACAATAAAACTATACATTTAGTTAACATGGTAATTAAACTTTTATATAATGCTAACATGGTAAAGTTTCTTCAAGACTTGAAAAGTTTGTTAACACAAGAAACTTCTACAGGTTCTTCACATGCTATAATTCAGTAGTTGATCAACTTGGTAATCACACTTCCACAAGTTGATAACATTGAAAGCTTCTTTGAGATAAAAAAATGTTTTAACATAATAAACTTCAATTGTTGACATGGTGTTGATGGTTAGAAGGTTATTATGCTCTTAATATGGTAATTAAGATTCTTAAAAATATCAAGCTACTACTGAAACCAACATTCATAAAATTCAAGAACTGGTAACTTAGCATTGTTGCGTCAGCGAGGTCACGTGACTAGTGTCACGCCACGTTTCTAGAACTATCTTGTACCTTCGTGAATTGTCGGGAGATTACTAGATATAGGGTAGACTGGTATATATAAGATGGTCACAACGTGACGGTAACAACGTGTGT